GGAGAAGCCTCTGTTGGAAAAACAGGCCACCCCAAGCTGGTATTCCAGTCCAAGCTATGCTTTGGAGCATGGCCAAGTCCCTATCATAGCCAATGTGTTCTTACACAGCCATAACTAGGTTGCTCCACCAGCTTGTAGATTATATAACTGTAAAATGAATTACAAACTACATTTTTAGTGTTGCTTGCCCTTGCAAAATTCACCAACACAATACTATGGTGTTGCAAGCTGCCAGTGCATTGCTAAGTTGTTGATAATAGGTTAGACTGGTTGCTATGGTGTTGTGGGTGGTTGCTAGGTGATAAACTAGGTGTTAGCATTTGAAAAAATAACCTGAAAAGGTTACAGTCAGCATTAAATTAAAATTCGGCCTTTTTATAAATGTATCTTATTCTTAATTATCTTATTGTGAACCATTCATCCATGCATGTTTCATTTTTACTTTTTTAGTTTTTTTATCTAAATGTCGTAACTCTATCAGCTGGTGAAACGGTCGGCAGACTTCTCTATGCAGGACTTCTCCTGCCCCTTTCTCACAATTCACATTCATATCTGCCTCATCCAAATCAACAACTGATGGTTAATTTTAGGGGTTTGGACCTTCATGCTTCCCTTTTGAAAAATGTGATGCGTACATGTTAATCACATCATACTAATTCATACAAAATGGCCACCTCATAAAATAATTAAATTTTCTCATGAGATCAGGTTGGATGGTTTCGAAGTAAACAATTCACCATTCACTCAGAAACCACTATTGTCAGTGTCTCTCAAATCTGAATGAACTCAAAAATGTTTGAAAGCATAAACTTGACGAGACCTTTATATCAATAGTATGGTAGGCTACAACGGGACTATGGGCCCGCTAAGGAAAAAGTTCATTTTTTCTGACCCCAAAGTATGACAAATTATTATTTATTTATTTTATTGAGTACTGCTTAAGAAACGTTTTTTCGTTGTTGTTTTGGATCAAATTAATGTAAATATAAAAGCACATAGAAGGGCCAGAATTGCCCACTATAGGCAAGGCAAGGCAAGGCAAGGGCAAGTTTATTTATATAGCACATTTCATACACAATGGCAATTCAAAGTGCTTTACATAAAAAAAAAAAAAAATAATAATAATAATAAAAAGAAATAGGAATAATTAAAACAGTTAGGAATAAAGAGATTAAAATAATCAAAAGAAATAAGAATAATTAAAACAGTTTAGAATAAAAAATAAAATACAGTACAAACAGTCGGACACAGTGGCACAGTGCTCATTCAGTAAATGCATAGCTAAACAGAAGTGTCTTGAGTCTGGATTTGAATGTGACTACTGTAGGAGCACATCTGATCTCCTCTGGAAGCTGGTTCCAGCTGCGGCTGGCATAGTAGCTAAAAGCAGACTCTCCTTGCTTAGAGTGAACCCTTGGTATTTCTAGCTGATGTGATCCTAATGATCTGAGTGATCTGTTGGGTTTATATTCAGTGAGCATATCTGCAATGTATTTAGGTCCTAGGCTATTAAATGATTTATATACCAGTAATAATACTTTAAAATCAATCCTAAATGTAACTGGGAGCCAGTGTAAAGACCTGAGGACTGGTGTGATGTGTTCATATTTTCTGGTTCTGCTCAGAATCCTGGCAGCAGCGTTCTGTATTAGCTGCAACTGTCTTATGGTCTTTTTAGGAAGGCCAGTGAGGAGTCCATTACAATAATCCACCCTGCTGGTGATGAAAGCATGCACAAGTTTCTCTAAGTCTTGACTGGAAACAAAGCATCTAATTCTTGCAATATTTTTTAGATGATAGTATGCTGATTCAGTTATTGATTTGATATGACTACTGAAACTAAGGTCTGACTCTAGAGACACACCCAGATTCCTCACTTGATTTTTAGTTGTTAGACCCCTAGCGTCAAGGTATGCGTTCACCTTGAGAACTTCATCTTTGTTGCCAAACGCAATGACTTCAGTTTTGTCTTTGTTTAACTGAAGAAAGTTTTGGCACATCCAATTGTTTACTTCCTCAATGCATTGGCACAGGGAGTCAATGGGGCTGTAATCGTTAGGCGATAGGGATAAGTAGAGCTGTGTGTCGTCTGCATAGCTGTGGTAAGAGATTTGGTTCTTTCTCATTATTTGGCTCATTGGGAGCATGTACAGGTTGAATAGGAGTGGCGCAAGAATTGAGCCTTGAGGGACTCCGCATGTCATGGATGTCCACTCAGACTTATGGTCTCCTATACTCACATAATAACCTCTCCCTTCTAAGTATGACCTGAACCATTTTAGGACTATCCCAGAAAGCCCCACCCAGTTTTCCAGCCTGTCAAGAAGTATGTCGTGATCGACAGTGTCAAATGCAGCACTGAGGTCGAGTAGTACCAGCACTGATAATTTGCCTTTATCAGTGTTTAGGCGAATATCATTTATTATCTTTATGAGCGCTGTCTCTGTGCTGTGATGCGATCTGAAACCAGATTGAAAATTGTCAAAGTATCCATTCGAGATTAAGAATTTGTTCAGCTGATTGAAGACAACTTTTTCAATGATCTTGCCTATGAAAGGAAGATTTGAGATCGGTCTATAGTTGCTTAATATGGTCTTATCCAGATTGCTCTTTTTCAGGAGGGGCTTGACAACTGCAGTTTTCAGGGAGTTTGGAAAATTCCCAGAGATAAGTGAGGCATTTACCACTTCTAGGAGATCTGCTTCTAAACAGTTTAACACACTTTTGAAGAAAGATGTGGGAAGTGCGTCAAGGGCGCAGGTTGATGTTTTAAGGTGCTGTACGGTTTCTTCTAAAATTTTGCCATCAATTTCATCAAAATCAGACATAGTAGCTGCTTTCTCAGGTTGTGGTCTGATCTGTCTGACCCCAGCGCAACTCAATGATGTGCTGATCACCTTTCTGATATTATTGATTTTCTCGGAGAAGAACAAAGCAAACTCCCTGCACTTGCTGTCTGAGAGCAATTCATTGGGAATCTGGCTTGGGGGGTTTGTCAGTCTCTCTACAGTAGCAAAAAGAGTGCGTGTGTTGTTTAAGTTGCTGTTTATAATATTTGAGAAGAAAGTCTGTCTAGCTTTGCCTAGTTCCATATTGAAAGCATGGATGGTGTCTTTGTAGATGTTATAATGGACTACAAGTTGTGTCTTCCGCCACATGCGCTCTGCTTTTCTGCATTGTCTTTTCATATTTTGCACTGCTGTTAAATTTCTCCAAGGTGCTTTTTGTCTACCACTCTTCCTGACTTTCACAGGAGCAATATCATCAATTACACTTTTAACTTTTGAGTTAAAAGAATCAAGGAGAAAATCAACAGAGTCAGCAGATAAGCTTGGTGTTGAAGATATAGCCTTCATAAATAGTACACTAGTGTTCTCATTTATGCATCTCTTCTTGACAGATACAGATCTAGCTTCAATGGCAGGAGAGATCAATATATCAAAGAAAATACAGAAATGATCAGACAGTGCTACATCCTTAATAACAATCGATGAGATGTTTAGACCCTTACTGATAAGTAAATCTAGAGTGTGTCCACGAATGTGTGTCGGTCCGTGTACATATATGATAATATATATGATATTATCATATATGTACGATGATATATGATAACACTACAGTCAATCTACATTTTTCCAATGCAAGAGTGTGCCTGAAACCAGAGCACATCATTACTATCATCTCACAGATCAAGCCAGACTGTACAGATTGCAAATCTGTTACAAAATAGAAATTGTTGCAGCTTTATCCTATACTTGTATCTAGAGTTACTGTGTTCCTATAGTACTTTGAAGTCCTGCACTCAGCTGTTTCCTTGGTTAAGTCATAAACAAAATGTATGTGCTTCCTCAAAAGTTACTTTGGTAACTTTCCAAGAACAATGCAAATACACAGCAGATCATGTAACTAACCAACAGAACAGAATGAAACCTTTTGGGGTTTTCAATACAGCACCAAGCATGATCACAAATGTCACTCCAATAGGTTTCAGCAACTAGTGGTCTCAGTAATTACACAATCGGTGTAATGCTTTACAGGACAAAGGTTGTTTTGAATCTTGAAAAATTAAATGAAGGCAAAAATTAGTTTTCATCAACAATAGAAAAGGTTGCTTATAGACTGCAAAGAACTCATAAAAGTTGTTGTACAACAGGTAAAGCGGGGCAGGAATGCGGGAATTGTAGCAACTTCCGTACTGTATTTCACAGAGGAATTTGTTCAGCAAGTTCTTATTTGAACAATTACCCCTGTAGCTGCAGAACAGTACATTCATGCCACAGTATAGCAGTGCTGCTGAGAGTTAAAAAAAACAACAACAAAAAACAGGACGGACAGTCATGCTTTTGTTCCAGAAAATAGCTATATAAAGATGAGCAGTCGCTTACCCTTAACATTTATTTGTTTAAAATACAGTAAAACAGCAATATTGTCCTTATTTTATTACGATTTAAAATAAAAGCTGAATTTTTCCAGTCTTGTGTCACATGATTCTTCAGAAATCATTCTAATACAATGATTTAGTGTTCAATAAAAATGTATTACCAATGTTGAAAACAGTTTATGCTTAGTATTCTTTCAAGTTCAAAAGAAAAGCATTTATTTTAAATAAAAATGTTTTGTAACATTATGTCTTCGTCACTTTTGATACATTTAATGCATCCTTGCTGTGAAAAAAAAAACAGTATTGACATTAAGATTTTGTGAGAAATGTTTTATTATTTTCCAGTGGTGACTACTGGATACATACACAAAACAGAGAGGGTCAACAAAACCTGTAACAGTACTGAGGACAAAAGTTGGGATAAGATGACTCAGAACTATCTCCATAATCTGAAATGTGTAAGTTTTATACTTTACTGAATAAAAATAAAAAAATTAAACCACAATAAAAAACACAAGAAAATACATAAATTGAGAGGGATTGTCGCCCCCCCCCCCCCCAATTTTACCCTCTAGTCTGATAAATATCCCAAGTCCCTAACTCCGGTTACAAAAATTCGATTTAAAATGCAAAATATTTTCAATCGATTCTTTGACATACTGACTGAATAAACATGCATTCAACAAAATCTGAACTAAGCGGCATCACTTCACCACTTGGTTCTTCTATGTTTCTATTGTGATGTAGCGTAGTTCTGATACAGTTGGGGACTAGCTTTAGAAATAATTCAGCCTTTTACACTTCTTATTTTCCTGCCTGCTGGGCTTGACGCCTCAGCAGCACGTAGATCTTTTCTTTGATCCAGTCTTTGTTGTAGGGCTGGTAGGTTTGCGTGTCTGCCCTGTACCTGTTTGAACGACCAGAGAGTCAGAGAAATGGATATGATTGGTGAGAGCTTATGTGTTAGTTATGCACTGTTGTGTAAAAAGTGTGATTACTTACACAAGACAGCTGAGGTCAGCAAGATCATCAACAAAGTCGAATAACTGGCTTATGTCATATGTGATGGAGGGACTGTTGGGATTCATCCTCTTCAGATGCTCTTCATACATCTTACAGACTCCTTTTTTTTGGAGGAGGGAGGGGGTGTTAAATATTATGAATTAAATGCATTAGAATAGTTCATGACATTATTTTCTTGTCCATTAAAAATGATAGAAACATCCTACCTTCCATGCATTCGTTGACAGACTCATAGTCTGCATATGTTCTGCCTTCTGGTCTCTTGGTGGGCTGCACCAGCAGAATAGTGTGAGACTGAACATCAGGAAGAAACAAAAACAAGTTTAAGTAAATGATATATGTTAAAGAACAAAAATGCATAAAAAGTTTATTAGAAAGACCAAATATACCGTAAAATCACCAGAAAGTATCTAATAATGTGGAGCCCTCTACTGCTAATAACTTGCTAGTGCTATTTTACATCTGACAATGAAATTAATAGATCACATTTATATAAAATGGATGACATCTTAATCTGATATTCTCGTTTGTCAAATGAACTAAGTAAAATTAAATATAACTCGCTCAAATATTCACACGGAATCTCTGGAATAAGACTCTAAAAACACCAGCTGTTGGACTCCAACCCTCCCCCAGAACAAAACAGTCTAGATGCTTCTTACTAAGAAGACAGATACTACCACGGGTGAACTTAAAAACTAGTTTGTTTAAATTCACACTTTAAACAAAGTGCTTAACTATGTAGAAAGAGAATGTAGAAACATTCCAGCGAACTTCAATTTCCTTAATATTCGACGTTGCCTTGCTACACTGCTGCTAACGTTAGCTGCCCGCGTTCATCTTTTACCGTGTCAAGGTACACGATAAAACACGGTTTTCTAAACAGACAAACGACAACAATGTATACCATAATTCAAAATATAGACCTGAAATGCATACCATATCTGCTCCTGGTATCTAAAAGTCGCGATGAATTATGTGCTAACCGCTGACGGCTGTTCACTGAGAGCAGCAACAGAAAGAGCATAAATGTGCAACGAACATTCACTTCCGGTAGTGGCGGTGACGATTTGGCTTTTCAAAATAAAAGCGTGTGTCACGTTACACAAAAGGGAATTTATTTTAACCTATGATTTTAACTCCAAAATGTGACATCGGTCAGAGAAGATCTAGATGTACAGTTTTGTTGGGTGCCAGCACATGAGGGGGTAAAAGGGAACGAGATTGCAGACAAACTGGCTAAAGAGCCGCATTGTTAAAGCTAATACCAGTTACAATTCCATTAGTTAAAGGCGAAGGAAAAGCGGTGGTTAAGATGAATAGACTTGAAGTATGGCAGAAATGGTGGGAGGAAGACAGGAAAGGGAGGAGATATTATAAAATACAAAAAATTTGTCAGTATAAAGAATTACATGGAAAGGACCAAGAGAGAGGAAATTGTAATGACAAGACTCAGAGTGTATCACACGGGGCTGAATGACACATTATTTTTAATGGGGAAAAGGAATAGTGAGAACTGTGAAACCTGTGGGGTTAAAGAAAACGTTGAACATGTAATTGTACTGTACATTGAATGAGGTGGAAAGACGGGTGTTTAAAGATAAGGTTCAGGAGGCAGGGCGGGAGTGGAATCTGGTAGGGATACTGGGATCAGAAGGAGAGGGAGAGGAGATAAGAATCACCAGGAAGGCAGTGTTTAAAAAATTTTTTAAAGACACAGGGTTGTGGAGTAGAATTTAAATAATTGTAAAATGACATGATGATACACACTCCAGTACAGTAGGTGGCGGTATGCACCTAAAAGTTGTTTGCAATCCGCCATTTAATAAGAGAAGAAGAACTCCAAAATGTTCAAATTCGAGGGCAATGAGGGTTTAAAACATAGGAGGCCTGTTGTAATGATCAGCAAATAATGGCTTTATCTTTTGCAACAATATAGTTTTGTTTTGTGTTAGATGTAGCCTAATATAATGTGCATCCTTTTTATGTCTGTGCTTTTGCTTAGTTTTTTATTTGTTTGTTTTGTGTATGTTTATACCATAATTTTACAAATTTTCTTCATTTTGACTTTACATTTGATATTTGTTTTCAGGGCGACTTTGTAACATTCTGTCCAGAACCTACAGATGAAAAATAGCCTGAAGGCTAACCCTGGGACATTTACTGTAATGTGCACTGTCCCTGTTAAATAAACTAATAAAATAAAAACAGAAATGTGCATGCAAGATTGTCTCAAATTCTGTAGGCTACAAGAGATTTATTCTGGTAAATTCTTGGATGGAATCATAAAAAATCAGTGTTCTCAGTTTGTGTTAGCACTTTAATGGCTTAGCAAGAGTATACATTTGAAGTACAAAGTATATGGATATAGAAACATAAAGAAAAGGAAAATTATTTTAGCTTAATTCTAAACAGCAAATTTATTTTCATGGAATTGATGAAACAGTTGAGATTGAAATATGTAAAAAAACAAAAAACCCCCTGTTTTTATGCTTAATACTTTAAAGTAAATGTGTTTATCTTAAACTACAATGATAAACTACAGTGATAAACCTGAGAGGTTTATCACTGCTACATGGGCTCCCTAAGGGAACGAAACTTGACGACCCAGAAAGTCATTAAAGAAAATGTTTAAATATTCCATGTCGCAACAGTGGCTCAACTATAAGTTTATCAAGTGACGAGAATACTTTTTGTGCGAAAAAACAAACAAAAATAACGACTTTATTCGACTATTCCTTTTCTTCCTTGTAGGCCTGAAACGAGACTTCAAGAGATTTCCACGACGCATGCGCGAGAATTGCCATATCCTTCAACTACTTCAGTTAAGTTCTCGCGCGTGCGCGTCGTGGAAATCTCTTGAAGTCTCGTTTCAGGCCTACAAGGAAGAAAAGGAATAGTCGAATAAAGTCGTTATTTTTGTTTGTTTTTTCGCACAAAAAGTATTCTCGTCACTTGATAAACTTATAGTTGAGCCACTGTTGCGACATGGAATATTTAAACATTTTCTTTAATGACTTTCTGGGTCGTCAAGTTTCGTTCCCTTAGGGAGCCCATGTAGCAGTGATAAACCTCTCAGATTTAATCATAAATATCTTCATTTGTGTTCCGAAGACGAACGAAGGTCTTACGGGGTTGGTACAGCATGGGGGTGAGTAATTCATGACTTAATTTTCATTTTTGGGTGAACTAACCCTTTAAAAACATTAGCTGTTACAGCTCAAATATACAAATAAACTTACTAACGTAACGTCCTCATACAAAAAAAACTGTATAATCAATAAAATGAAATTGTACATTTCGCCTTGTCTTACCTCCATAATATGGCTGCCAGGTGTAACGTTTTCCCTGGAACTCCATTCGGTCAAACTGAGAACACTGTTCTTCACGAAAATCTCGAGCTCCAACAGGGCATTCCTTTACAGAGGACAAAAGTTATAGCACTCTAAAAAACTTATATTAAAGATATGTGTGTGCATTTGATTGTGTGTTAAGTTGTTTACCTGTGTGTTACAGAGTTTGTAGGACTTGGATGGTCCCACGCAATTGTGTCCACCATCCGTCCTTAATAATAAAAGACAGAAGATGAGTTAAGAAAGCTATAAAGAAAAGGGTTTCAAATGTACTAAACACACAGGTGTTCACCCACCTCATGGTGTTGCAGACCCTGGTTCTCATAGCTACTCCGGTGCCACATGTGCGGCTGCAGGCTCTGTACGGACCGTACTCACCCCAGTAATCATCAGACGGCTGCCTCACCTACAGCAAACACACTGTCTATCATGGTGGGGACAAATTCATCTGATATAGACAAAACCATTTTATATGGATCCCTTACACATTCTTGGTGAAAAGAACAAAGTTAGTTGATCTGATTCTCTCCTCTGACATTCCAGCAAACAGGGAGCATTCCCACAACGTTCACTAATGTTTTGTAAAGGTTATGTAAATGTTAAGTAAAACGTTCTTTAAATAACATTTAAAAAATGTTCTTATAATATTATTAATATTGCGTTCTCATGTTGTTGAGAGAAATGTTCTTGAAATGTCTTTATGATGTTGTTTTTACCTAAATGTTCTCATAAACATTCTGAGAACAACATTTTCAGGAAAAAAAAAAAACGTATTTACTTGATAAATGTTGACATTAAATTTCTTGGAATATTACAAATAAGCATTCAAAGAATGATGTATGTTCAGCAGGAGAATGTACTAACATTATCATAACATCTTAAATAACGTTCTAATCACAACAAGAAAACTGAATATTGTAACATTTTAGAAATATTGCAAATCCCTGTGTTCCCACAATGTTTTTAGAACATTTGTTAGCTGGGAAAACATTTACTGAAGAGCAAAAATCTGACTAGACAGTCATTTCTGCAATTATATTAATTCTTGAGCACATGTGTTAATGTTGTTTTACTTACACAGAAAACTGCAGAGATCGAGCACAAGATCCCGAGAAGAGAGTGGAGCATCATCTTCAACATAAGAATTTTTGTTGACCACAAATTCACAAAACATTGAAACATCTATAATGAAGTCACTTACCTTCTCACTGTCTTACCTCGAAAATGCCAAGTTCACCCAGTCACAGCGAGACAGTCGTGACTCGTGACACTGATGTCCATTCACTCAAGACTAAATATCTCTTCCTTTGTGCACACGTACACAAACGTACCAATACACACGACTCATATCAAGTTACAATTAACCCCTCTTGGGAGACAACATCATGCCTGACTACTGCACAAATCTGATTTAGTCTGAGATCGTGATCACACTTCATCATTCAAAACTGTTCGGTAAAAATGAAAAACATAGTTTGAGTTATACACAATATCTGTTTATTTAAACTAGTTCCATTATCATTTTATAATTTTGCAGTGCTTTAGAAGAAAGGTCAGAGGTCAAGTGTACATTTTTTCAATACATGTTTCAAATCAGCTTTACAGAAAGATACAAGACTTGCAAGAGGCATTTGACCTGCCACTGTCTACTAATGGGGTGATGGGGCCAGAGCCCCAAAAAAATATTATGAAAGCAAGATACAGCATGATTATGAAAGCATAATTGTGTGATGTGTGACAGATGTCACAGTCAGGCTTTTTTCAATGTTCTAACCAAAGATGTTCCTTAGTGCCACTAAACATATAGTATTAAATCATAGGGGTGGAAGCGCTCTGTGACACTCAATCCTCAAAGGTGCTACTTTAATCCCTTTCCCTATACAGCAACCAAAATGACAGATGGTGGTTGTCATTGTGAAGGAGTCATTTACCTACATTGGCTTCACTTACACCCCAACAGCTACGATCCAGAGACCACGTCGTACTTATGTGGAAGAAAACCCTCTGATACTTGAATCAACAAAGCTGCATTGCTTAGGTGCCTATAACATTTAAAGATCTGTAAAAGGAATTTTTGAGAAAGTTAAAATATTTTCTTGTATCTCAATTTTAAAATGCAGAGACAACTAAGAAAGCCATGTTGATTACCATGAAAACTGTTAAAAAAATAAAATAAAAAGTGGCTCCAGTCACTGCATATCTGTTCCATCAGAGCTGTCGGTTGAGCTTCCCTGCCTGTCTTTCTTTGGCATCCAAAGCGTATTTGGTGTCCTGGAGGTCCTTGACGGTCTCCAAGGCCTCCTGCAGCTCCTTGTCAAGGGCATTGTATTTCTCAGTCAGTATTCGGTTCTCCAAGCGGAGCTCTGTGATGTGGCGACTCAGCTCCAGGTTGTAATGCCCACAGTGCTCACGGAGCTGCTCCACCTCTCTAAGCAGGACCTCCATACTCCTCATCAGAGTCTCCAACTTCTCCTGCTGTTGTGTCATACTGTTGTGTTGCTTCAGTCCTATACAATATTCATCAAACAAATGAGAGGAAAATTGATACAGAAACACGGACCAACACAGACTGCAATCCTCTCTCGCGTCTCTCTGACTAATTTGTTAAATCCAGTTTGTTTAATCCCCTCCTTGTTTAAGCTCTTTCTTTTTATGTCTGCTACTCTTTTGTTTTTTTCTTCTATATATACACATCTACATCGGGCGTCAAGTGGTGATGCAACATTAGTGTTGTGTTTGTTAACTACTAAAACTCGTTTTGGTTTAAAAATTAATTGATTGTAAATAAAATAAGTTGAAGTTGTTGTACTAAAATAGCTAAAACTATAAATAAAGTTTAATAGAAATTACTAGTAAAACTTAGTAAAAATGTCAAAAAATGCCTAAAACCTAAACTAAAGTGACAATAAAACCGAATAATTAAATTATTATTAGCTAATTCAAAATATTAATAAAAAGAAGTATATAAATAATACCAAAATAGCACTCTCCAATAACAGCAGAAATATGATTTACTAGACAAAAACTTTATCTATTGGCTAAAATTGTACTAATATGTTAGCTTTATAGAGTGACAAAAATACACTAGAGTTTGATTGGATAAATGAACTGATATCATCAAGAACATCCAAGTTATGGAAAGTGTTTTCTCCTACCTTTATTCTGGTACCCAAACTAATAGCTGCATTTTATTATTTGCATTGAGTTATGTTTTATTCCTGCTGTCTGTGACAGAACCTTTGACAAATTTTTGGGTTGTGAGATCTAATGTGTGTAATCTAATCCCCTTTCTAAGACGTTGTTAATGCATTGATGCACACACATAAATATTGTAACTAAAGACAGATGAACTTTGGTCCATGTGCATCATCAAGTTGAATGATGTCTGCTCATAAAACTCTTAATGCGATCAGTCAAGCAAAGGCAAAGGTGCCGCTATAGCCATCATAATCACCAAGGTGATTACCATGCCAATACTTTAACAGACGATGTGACTGCTTATCCAGTACACTACCAGTCTCTGGTCCTCTCAGAATAGACACTACTAAAAAGAACCCCAGTGCATAGATCTACTCTGATACAAGACATTTCTATTGTAATGAATGTGCAAAATGCACATTTGTAGAGTGAGAGAATTGTACAGTGTGCAGCTATAAAAAGAGAAGTCATATTAGATTAAGTCTGATGCCTAGTCTTTTAATCTGATGGCATTGACCTTATTCACAGCAGCGCCTTATTTTAAAAGGATGTGAGGGATACATCTCTTTAGTGGGTTGTACTGTCTGTAGGAGCCATCTGGGGGATAGTAACGTTTTTGTCCACTGGGTGGTGCTGTGTATAATTAGATCAATAAGTCTAATGGAAACTGTTTGTTCTGTGCAAATCAGCATCCATTGGAAAGATGTTTTACTTTGAAGAAGAAGACTCAGCGAGACAAGATTGAGTTCTTGAAAGCCAAGGGAATTTGTTTTGGCTGTCTAAAGACAGGACATATGAGCAAGGAGTGTGACAATCGGTTGATATGTGAGGTTTGTGGAGAAGTGCATCCAACTATCCTGCACATCTATCGCAAGGAGGTATCTGGGAAAGAGTTGGAGGAAAGGCATAAAGTAGTGTCTCCTCAAACTTGCGGTCATACAGGGGCCGGTAATGAGAGGAGTTTAATGCCAATCATACCTGTTCAAGTAAAAGCTATAAAAGGTAACAACGTGAGGCAGACCTATGCTTTTCTGGACCCTGGAAGCTCAGCTACCTTTTGTTCAGAAACTCTACAGAAAGAGTTGAAGCTGAGCGGAAAGAGGGTCTACATTCTCCTTCGTACCATGGGTCAGGAAAAATATGTCTCCTGCAATGTTATCGACGGACTGGAAATTAGTGGAATAGCTGCCAACTGTTTCTTCCCACTTCCTGCTGTATATACACAGCAGAAGATGCCTGTTGACTCTGAAAACATCATTACACAGGAGGAGTTATCCAAATGGTCATACCTGGATAAGGTTAAGATACCGCACATTCAAGCAGGCGTTGATTTACTGATTGGAACTAATGTAGCTAAGTTGATTGAGCCATATGAAATAATAAACAGTCATGGTAATGGGCCATTTGCCATTAAAACCCTACTGGGATGGGTTGTTAGTGGGAACTTGGAGGGAAACGTTGACCGCAAGAATGAAGATGGGCATTCTGCGGTTTCTGTTAACAGAATTTCCGTGGTTAAGTTGGAAGAGTTGCTCAACAACCAGTTCAATTATGATTTCAGTGAAAGGACTGCTGATAAAGAAGAAATGTCAAGGGAAGATCTTCGGTTTGTGGACATAATGACCCGCAGTGTCACGCTCCAGGATGGACATTATAGCCTACAGTTGCCATTCAAGACTGGTAATGTCATGTTACCCGATAACTTCGGGGTCGCTAGGCAACGATTAAATGGTCTGAAAAGGAAACTGGAAAGAAACAAAGGGTTTCATGAACAGTACTCTCATTTTCTTGCTGAGGTAGTACTTAAAGGTTATGCAGAGAAGGTACCATCTCACCAACTAGATCGTGTGGATGGCAGAGTTTGGTACATTCCTCATCACGGGATGTTTCATCCCAAGAAGGGATTACTGAGAGTTGTGTTCGACTGCTGAGCAACGTATAAAGGAACATCACTTAATAGTCAATTGTTGCAAGGCCCTAACCTTACCAATTCTTTGGTAGGTGTGCTAATGAGATTCAGGCGAGAGCCAGTAGCCTTCATGGCTGACATTGAAGCAATGTTCTATCAAGTTAAAGTGGCTGAAGAAGAGGTAGACTTTCTTCGGTTCTTGTGGTGGCCTGATGGAAACTTGGCAAGAGAGCCTGTCACAGGTCGGGGGGGCCAAACCAGACTGCACCCACCCCTCAAACCCAGGACCACTCTGAGGAGCGTA